TCCATCCTGATTCTCTCGGAGCAATGACAGTGTGCCCAAAACATGGCACCACACTTGAAGGAAGCAGTTTCGCAAAAGCAGGGACTACAGTAAATCCATCTGGGGAATGGCAGCTCTGCCACCTGGGGGACACAGGGTGAGCCATCACTGCAATACAGACAAGAAAACAGTGCCCACCCACCTCCTAAGCTGTGGAAGACTGAGTGCCACCATGCACAGGAGGCACTTAGCAACATCGTGACCCAAGCGGCCAGTCAGTGAGCGTCAGCTGACACCAACATACCTGTGTCCACAGCACAGACTGTGCAATCTGAGATAAAAGCTGAACTGTCTTAGCTGAGAACAAACTCAACGAGCCACAAAAACATTACCGGGGTGAGCATCCCTTCTCCAAATGCTTAGGATGTTTGGAAATTGGGTTGTTTCAGATTTTGGAATCTTTACATATACATAATAAGATGTCTTGAGAATAGGACCCAAGAGTGACATGAAACTCTTCACGTTTTATATATGCCTTATACACAAAGCCTTAAGGTAATTTTATACAGCATTCTCAGTGCTCCTTCATTTTGGGTTTTTGTTGTTGTTGTCCGCTGGTTGTTTTTGAGCCAGGGTCTCACTATGTAGTCTCGTCTCACAACCCTCCTGCTTCAGCTTCCTGTGTTTTGCCTATGACCTATCTCATGAGGTCAGGTGTAGAATTTTCCACCTATGGCACAGGTGGGAACTGAAAAACGTTCAGATTTTAGAGGACTTGGGATTTGGGATTTCTGGATGAGAGACGCTCAACCTGTAAGTATGTAAAGTCAGGATTTTCTCTCTAAACACACTTGTAGGAACAAGGAAGTAACTCAGAGGCAGAGCCCTCTCTTACCAGCATGTGCAAGGAAGGCCCTGGGTTTAATCCCCAGAAAAACACACGTACACACACGTGTACACACACACGTGTACACACACACACACACCCCTTGCAAGTGAAGCTTAACATTTACGTAGAAAACATCATTTAAGTGACTAATCCAGAAAACCTGAATCTAACTAACCTATGTACCAAAGCAACAAGTTTAGCAGTGATAATGGGAAGTTTTTGGTTTTTGGTGTCTTCTAAAACCTGGAATATAGTTGGAAATGACCATAATCCATTACGCTTTGTCCTCAGCTGAGGAGCTCCCTGGGAATTTCAACCTAGAACGCTCAGGGAAGAGGGGCTTCTGGCCATGTGGAGGGAGCCTGCGTCACCAGATCTCTTGGTCTGTGATCTTGAGCATTGAGAGGTCATATAAGATGGCTTTTAAGAACCCTCTGTGTCCAAGTCATTAACAAAGAATGGGCCGGGAAGTGAGGGATGCACGAAATATCTCTATCTTCCTGCTTTTCTGCATTACATCGCAATGACTGTTCTGAGCCCTATGAAATATTTAGCTATGAAGGTAACCTCATTAAAAAAAAAAAACCCTGTCCTGTTGCATTAGGTGAAAAATAGCTAATGCTGCTTGATGGTTCAGCAATTAAATCAGTTTTTAGAGATTGAGATGAGACATTTAAGATCATCTATACAATTTCCTCATTTTAAGGTGGGAGAATCTGAGGCTCTGAGAATTTAAATAACTCACCCCTGGCCAGGACTGAAGGGAAAACCCAGGAATAAGCCAGTTAGGGACGGAGCCAGGCTTCACATCAAGCTTTCCTACTATATTAGATTAACTCTACATTAATAACATCCAATAGCCTCTGTGTGCACACTAAAAAAAAAAAAAATGTAACACTTAGACACAGGGGCCTAAGGATGGCTGAGCAGTAGTCCTTTGGTAAACAGGCAGAACACCAAACAGTCCTACCAGTCATTTACAACAGCTTCGTTTCATTTCTTAATTTTCTTTGATTTCATTTTTTAAAAAGTATTATTATTTTCCCTTCTCCCTTCACTGGCCCTCAAACTAGCTGTTGTCCACTGGTTAAGTCCCCCAGAGCCATAAACAGGTAGAAAGAGTTGGAGAGACAGCTGGGCCATCAAAGCACAACCATACTTTATAGTGACAGATTTATGAAGGAAGAAGGAAACTCACAGAAATGACAAACATCGTTTTTGGAAACTTTCAGGTCTTTGCTTTCTGGAAAAATACACCTTGGAAAACTTGACACTTTGCTTCTTCATTAAGGACAGGAGAGGAGAGTGTGGCTCAGACGTTAGGCCTTACACTGAGTTGCAGTGAGTTCTCATTCATAATGAGTACAGAACAATGAAGACTACAAACTGCAGCTACAACACCCTCAGGTCAAACGTCCTGAGCACGTTTCTTTAAAAGTTTATGTATGCAATGGAGAAAACAAAGAGGGATACCCCACACAGAGACCATGCTCCCCCAGTGCAGTCTCAAGCAGGCCCCAGCAAGGACCGTGGGCCTAAAGGAGACCCCAGTAGCCTGGTACCTGGACCAGTGTAGGCGGCCCAGTCCAGAGGTAGACAACCTTCTAGGGTCAGTTTAAGACATCTTAGCAAGGATTATGCTTTAGGTAGCTATGTTTTCCCAGGAGACAGTAGGGCTTTCTTTTCAAGTCCCAGAAGCCCCTGGGACTGGGTGGAATTTCTGTGTTTCCAGTATCCCCAAAGTGAATGTCCAGTTGCACCACTGTTGTGCAAACCCTGATTGTGCAATCATTTGCATTTGACAGGTCATCTCCCAGGCCACTCCCCAGGTCACCCATTCCACTGCCACAGCCTCCTACACCAGAGAAGGTCAAGAACACGAAACAGGCCCTGGTCACCCGCCAGGACACTGCATTCCAAAGGGGCAACACTGTTCTCCGTTTTGATTTTTTGTTTTTCCTAAGTGAAATATACTTTAGATTTTTGTTCCCACCCACTCAAATTCCAGTTTTCTTTCCCTCCAGGAAGGTCTCAAACATGAAACAACAAAAACACTCTTGTCTGTGCATCCTTGGGGGTTAGAGGGTGGCTTTTCCATCATAGGTGCTCTTCATTTAGCAGAATGTTGTCATTAGTAATTAAAACTGCACTGCACCTGTGCAAAATCAAGCAGTATTTCCTCATTAAGCCCCCTTCGTCTTCCCGCATATCTGTAATCACTGATTCCGACTTGTTTTAAAAAAAAAAAAAAAAACTCCTCAGCCATAATAATGATGTGACCCATTTATTTTGAGCCCAGAATCTTTGGAGACTCATGCGCTCTCTTTGTACTTACTCACAAGGCTATCTTAATTGACAGGATTAATTAACCACCAGGATTCTGACCATCATTCTTACACTTAAATTGTAAATTGTCAAAACTGCATCACTTATGTCACTTTTCAGCAAGCATTTCCTGGTTAAACCAATCCCAGGGGGCCATGGTTTTAGTGTTTAACTCTTCCTTCCTAGTCAGCTCCACCTAATGAAATCTGAGTCTGTTTTTTACTTTTAAAAAAATGTAAGGGTCACCCTTCTAATTTTCTTGTACTTGGTCTAAGCACTGAACTAAGAACAAAGGGACAAATCAGCCCCTTTGTCCATCTCCCAGGAGATGACTGATGGAGTTCAGGGCCAAGTTGCAAAGAGACTCACCAACCAGCAGATCTGCCTGCCTTCCTTCCACACTCAGCTGCCCCTACCTGCTCTTAGACACAGTCACAGGCTCCCCCCACTTTTCTCTGGGTTTTGGCTTTTAAAAATGTTAATTTTTAAAATTTAAAGAAGACAAAAACAAAACCAGCATGCTGGCTCACACCTGTAACTCTAACTACTTGGGTGGTAGAAATTGGGAAGATTGCAGCCAGCCCTGGGAAAAGGCAGTGAGACCCCCATCTCAATCAACAAAAAGCTGGGTGTGCCAGCATATGCCTACAGGTCAAGCTACTCCAGAAACAGGAGGATCACAATCCAGGGCAGGCTGAGGCCCTATTTGAAAAGTAACTAAAGTAAAAAAGGGTTGCGGGCCTCAACCCAAACCTTGATTACAGTCCTGAGAAAGAGACCTAAAGGCAAAGAACCGGCTAGGCCACACCTGGATTCCTGACCCATGGAAACTGTAAGATAGTAAGTAGTGTTTAAAGCCACAACAACTTGAGGCGATGTATCTCGCAGCAATAGGTTACTAATATCCCCATTCCTGGTCCAAATGCACTGAATTTCCTAACAAGGTTTCCTTATGTCCCCTGCCTTTGGAAATTCTTAAAGGTTCCTCCTCCCATACTAAATAATTTAGAGATTCCAAAACACCCTAAATCTTTCTGCCATCCCTTTACCTCCTATTTTCCCAAAGAGCTAACAACACCTCTCCCTGCAAGTCTGCAGGACAGAGCACGCTCTTGTCCCCGGAATGCCAGCTCTCGTGTCTGCCTCCCTACTAGACCAGGGTCACTCTGAGCTCGTACTCTGCCCTCTTTAGTTTCCCCAGAGCCTAGAAGAGTGCCCAGCACAAAGGGTGCTCAATTAATACTTGTCAGTGGCTGAACAAAACTAGGAGCAGTCACAGGATCTTTGGGAGGCACTGCCAAGTTTAAACTCCCCAGCGAATGAGGAAACTAAATTTTGGGGCCTTCCGAGATGCTGCTGAAGATGGAGACCAGCTGTGGTCTTCCAGTGCTCCTGTTACAGTAATATTCCACTCTTCTGTCTCTAAGCCAGCCCACTCACTAGCAATGCAGTCCTGCTCCCACAGATCAACTGCCCTGAAACTTCTCAAATTCTGGCCAATTTAAGTTTTACAGACCATAAAATCATATAGAAAACAGACTCTCAACTTTCGACCTTTTTAGTTATCAAGCTCTCCTTATAGAAAACAAAACAAAACAAAACAGTACAAATCAAATGGGGTTTGCACTTCACAATGGTGTTCAAGCCCAGGGTAATTTTTTAAAAAATATCAAACAGTGACACAATCAATTATGATAATTATTGGTTATTTTAAAACATTCCTTCTAGTTGCTGCCAACTTTGAAGGACTTCAAAAATACACACGAAGAAACTGAAGCCATGCAGTATGTTGAAAGCTTAATCCTACCTTATAGCCTCCAATGCGATGCTCCTGCTTGAACTCTTTGCCATTTTTCAGCCACCTCATCGTGGGCGTTGGATTGCCTCCAGCTGGACAGCGGAACTTGACTGTGTTGGCCGCGGGAACAGCGTGCAGCCGTTTCTCCATCTTTTCTGTGTTGGTCCAGTATGGTGCTCCTGAGTTGGAAGACAATATTAAAATGCATGGAGATGGATTGCTTCATCTCACGAGTAAACTCCAAAAAGGTTTGACCGTTTTATTGTGTATGAAAAGGATCTGATAGTTTTTAAATCTTTGGATAATATTTACATTAGGAAAATGTTTTCAGAAGTCTGGTCCAGCTGGCGTAGCAGAAGGTCCCTGGAGGGACTGCTTATTGGTTTATGTCTATTAACAAGGAAAAAAAGCATTTGAGACACCTTTTCACTCTCGCTAGTGGTGCCAGAAAATAATTTCATGTCAGATCATGTTTTAAAATGCTACTTTATACTCACAGTAACAACACATGGAGTAACAACAGCTCAGTCCTCCAAAAATACACCTATTAAGCAAACATCTGCACTCTAGTAAAAACGAGCTGTGTTCAAAAGCCGCATTGATTTACACATCAGAGCTTTTAAAAGTGCCATCAGGCGTAGAAATTCTCAGCCTACTATGATTAAACCATCCAGGAAGGCATCAGTAATTCCTCAGCACTATGACAAACCAAAATCCCATAGCACCAAGTAGATCTTAGTTTTTCACATGCAAGAAAACCTCTTCCCCAATGGCGGCGATGCGCGCCAAAATCCTATCACCACGCCTAAGCTAGTAACAGAAGGTTACCAGTTAAACATTAAATAAAGCCATGCCTCATAGTCATAAATACAAGTGATTTTTTTTAAATTCAAGAAAGGAGGTTTTCAATCCCCAAGAGATGTACCCGTCCACGGCACCGGTCCAGAATACTGCTATAACTCATTCCCATGGGCTGGTGACCACTAATGGCCACGGCTGGCTGAATGCTTATTTGGCAAGCATTACTCTAAGAGCTTTTACATGCTTAAAACATTAATCCCCATGACAATTTATTGAGAAACGCACTATTGTAATCCCTGGTTATAGGAGGGAAACTGAGGCACTGAGAAGTAATTTGCCAGAAGAACTTAAGTCATCTGTCAAAAGCTAAAAAGCTCAGAGTTCAGTTTTCAGACTCACTCTTCCTTGCTTTCCCAGGGGGTTACAGGCCTTGCCCTCAACCACTGGGACATTCAAGACTAGAGACCAGGACCGCCAGCTCAGGCTAAGGACACACTTCCTCCTATAATATTGTCCAGAACTTCCACTGAACTCTTGAGCAGCAATTTTACTTTTTAGGTATATGTTTCTGTCTTAGCAAACTAGTAACCTAAGAGATCTGTCAACAGGTCCTTGAACATTCTGGAAGGTCTACTTGTTACTACGCTCAGTCAGCCGCACATGTGTGCCACAAACCAGAGGTGAAATGTTCCTATTCAGGGGCTCGGTCTCTGATGCATATGTGAAAGTCTCCCCTGCGGGAGGCACAGCATGTTCCCAGGGAAGAGTCACCAAGTGGCCAGACCCTCATGCTACAATGAGCTTCCAAAGCACCTACCCCTGTTGTCATGCATGCTGTACAGGAATTTCCTAACCAAGGCTCATGGGATCTTCTTTACTTATGTATATCCATGGTCACGGTGGTGGGAGGTTTAGGTGGCATCTCCTAAGGGCAAGACTATAGTTGGTCATCACATAGTGCAGAGAGAAACTAGGGAGGGACAAAGAAGGGCAAGAGAAAAGGAAGAATGCTGTCATCTTCCCTTTGAGCCCAACTGCCTTCACAAGGGCAATTTGAGAAGCCACTGACTTTGGGTGTCACTGGTCCATAAACACATCTATTCTTCTGAGTCCACCAGGGAGTACTTGACTTCCATTTGTCACAAGACCCCCAGGGCCTGGCGTATCCTGAAACAATTTCAATAATCTTCCGTTTTAAAAGCTTCTACTTAGAAAAACCCATGACAGCCACAGAAAAACCTCCATTGAGAGCACAAAATAAATAATGAGCTTTGTTGCTACACAAAGACTTTAACAAATCTGACCTAAATGAAAAGCATGCCTCATGCTGTCAGGTGTCTGTACCCAGGTCATTTGTTTAAGTAAACACAATAGCCTATTCACATGAATTAGCTAAATATCAATGTAGTAACTCTTTGAGATAGCATCAATTACGTCTGGGCTGATCCTCTGGAATGGCTTTTCTTTTTTACATAAAAGAAATCACAGATGTGTGCTCACAAACCATTAGGTATGATTTTTATGTTCCTAAGACGTCAGAAGTGGGATTTGACTTAAGGACCTAGGAATGTTGTTCTTTTCCACTCTCACTGGACCAAGCCATCGGTGAGGAGTGCTCCCAGTCACGTGCACTGCACAACCCCAACCTTTGGCAACAGCTCACTGGCAACCAGGGCCTTTGTCCTAGTGCCTAAGGAATAATAGAAAGGCTAGGGTGAAAGAATTTTGCTGGTATTTCTGGCAGGTGGCCACTTCCGTGGGGTGAAGCTTCAATCAACAAAACTACACCTATAAAATCTACTTGTGCAAAATAGACACTAGCCATGCGTCAGGGTGTGGACACATGCTTCTCATCTCAGTCCCAGAGACCCAAGGAGGATGAGGACGCCACAAAAATCTAATCACCAGAGTAGGAACACATCGTCTGCATGGCTATAGCTCGAAACTGAATGTCACAACATTCTCTCAAGCACTGTAAATTGTGACCTAACAGAAAGGGCCGTCAAACCAAGTTGTTCGAGGCACCCTGAACAGTGAGCGGTCACCCCTACCCTCTGCCTGGGCTCCCATTTGTCTGACCAGTTCCACTCTGGTGAGTTCTCACATCACACAGGCCTAACAGCCTTTGTTAACTAAGCCTCTCTTTAAGATGTCAAGCACACACTTTTGAAAAACAAGCATGATGCTGGAAAGAAGAAACTATCTTACTATCTTACAATGACTCCTGATTTAAACTACTTTAAAGGACCTGGATGATCTAGAAAAATAACAATTATATAAGACCAGCCCTACTGTATGTGTTTCCTTCATCTGCAGCCTCATGTCCTCTGTAGACTTTTTTAGTTTTTATTTTTGAGACAAAGTCTTGTGTACCTCAGAATGACCTTGAACTCACTATGGAGCCTAGGCTGGCCTCAAACTCCTGCTCCTCCTACCTCAGCCTCCCAAGTGCTGGGATTACGGGCATTGACCACCACGCCCCACTTTCTACAAACCCTCTCTCCAATATTTTCTGCCATTTTTGCTGTCTAACCATGTGGAAATGCCAAGGTCCTCAAAGAACTACAATGTACCTGCAGAGAAACACGGGCTAAGCACGTCAGACAAGCAAAGATTTAAGGAGGCTTCTTTCCTACCCAGGGTTGGGAGCAGCTTAACAACTTCCATTTGGAGAAGGAACTGGTATATCAAGTTAAAGACCTACAAAAGCAGAGACGACCCTGGTACACAGATTTTAGTCAACCACCATATTTTAAATGAATTGGCAAGCCAAGGACACAATAGGTTCTTAGAAATCAAGTATACAAGCATCAACTTTATATACCTCCCTTGGCATAACCTTAGGGGTATATGAAGAGTGGAATTAAAATCACTTAGAGAGAAGGCTCAGACCTCTGAAGGCATACAAGCAAATTATACTAAGTTACCTGTAAAGTAAATAAGTTAGCCTCCATGACAGGTATGGTCCCCTTCGCTCTTTCTGATGTACTAAGTAGCAAGAAAGCAATGTTCTCTTAATCATTCAGTACTAGTGAAGAGCCAATTAAAAAAAAAAAAAAACTCAGCCATAATAAATAAATAAAATTCTATCCTGCCATTTTTATACTAACACTATTATAGCTACCAGTGATAATGCTAAGTAAGTAGAATTTTATAGAAGTCTCTTACGACGTGGCTTGATTAGGGAGAGATTCATAACCCCACAGAAATGGCCTTCCGAGTACTCCTTCCTTTCCTTACCATCCCCATCACACAGTGAAGGTGCAGCTTTCCTTCTCCAGACTGCTTCTTTGTCCCTGCTGCATGCTTCCACACCAGGTGCCTGACCTGCAAGAGTGGAGCACTAGAGCCTGCAGCCCAAGATGCCTTTAGCCCGTAGGATAGGCACTCGAGCGTGCATGGATGGATGGATGGATGGAGAGATGGCTCAGTGGACAGATGGATGTGGGGAGTGGATGGATAACTGTTAAAAACCTTTAGCTATAAAATGAGGGAGTTGTGATAAGATCCCTTCCTGTCCTAACATTCTCTCTAAGCATGTATGTCGTAGACACAAATCAATTCTGTCCACAAAGGTAGGATTATAGATGAGTTTTTTTTTTTTTTTGACCCTGCAATTTAAAAGTAATGAAAAACCATAGGGTACTGAGCCTGCCGTATAAAAACCTTTATACATCTCCATATTGACAGCTAAGGTTTAGGATCTACTCTCTGGAACCAAAAAGAGATCACAGCCTAACGTTTTAAGGAAAAAACATGGAATCATATTACAGTGCTGTACCAAAAGACACCTCGTGACCATCTGGCCTAGTGGCTGATGTGATCAACGTCACCCAGAAAGGTTAAGTGATTTGATCAAGGTCACACAGCCAGAGGCCAAGCTAAGGCTAGCCCCAAGTCTCCAGCCCCCTGGGCAGTGCTCCTTCACCCACTCTGAGCTGCCCTATGAACTCTCCCATGGTGATGAGCTCAGAAGCTCAAGACTTACGTGAGCCTTGGCATCTGATGACTGCCAACTGTATTTTTATTGATGCAAAAACAAAAAATAAAAAAGCACAGCCTGTTTCAGCTCTAGATTAAGTCTCACAACTCCCTAAAGCCCCACTAGGCCTCTGTCTTAAGTCTATAATTAGGGCTTTTAAAAATACCACTAATCAGAACATTCAAATGCTTTGACCCCTGATGGGGAAAAAAGTCACTATCCTTAGTCTGCAGTTCATCTGTTTTCGGTTTGGTGTAAGCTAAGGACACAACGCTAACACAGCATGGGGATGGAGTGAGGTGTGACTCTGTGTGGCTTTGAGGCATTCGATCAGAAACATGTATTTTTGTTTTTTAACCTGGACCAATCACCCAAAAGTGAAATGACTTGGTCCAG